TTCTAATCCACTACGAAGAACTATGAAGTGGTATAGGAAAGTTCTTATTGACTTATTATTAAATGTTGGTGTAGTTACTGCTGCATGTTTGTTTACCATGACTACTAAAAGTACCATGAGTATTACATATTTCCGATCTGCATTAGTTGAAAGCTTAATCAAAAAGACTGTAATCCCAAAATCTCCATCTGCTGAAAAACATAAACTACAAAAGTGTAAATTCATTCGAGCCTTCATCTAATTCTTTAACAACAATGCATTCTAAATATGGAAATTTCAAACCTATGGAATGAACTGTATTAGAACTGTTAAATACAAACAATGATGGACCAGCCATTTACAAATAAGTTTCAAAAATATTTTAAAGTATATAATGATTTATAAATTAAAATCAATCTTATAAATAAACATTTTACAAATATTAAAATATGTACTTGCAAATACCAAATAATAAATTATATTTTGTTCTAGGGGCACTGATTTGTTTTTTTGGAAGATAACAAAATTAATTGTTGAAATATTTCCAAACGAATTAGAGGTTTGTTGATTTATAATTAACTAAATAGATATGGTTTAGAAAATTTATGAAAAATAGGTTACAAATTTAATTTACATCAAAGAAATCAAAGTATTTTAATGTTGAATTATAATTTAAATAAATTAGCAAATTAATTGATTAAACATTTCAAAATATAATAATAACAATGTGATAAATGATGATAACTCCAAACAAACCTGACAAAGTAACCTTTGAAACAAAACTAACAAATTTTTCAAATTCTTAATTTAATTATGTCTGGTATAGGTAATTTGTAATTTATATCGAAGGAGAGCTTTAATAAAATAATCTATTATTCAACTCTAAAAATTTAAAACCCATTTGGTAAAAAATATAAATTTAACTTCATTATAAAGTAGTTAATTAATTAAATTTTAATTACCACCTAGGTGGCTAGGTCACACATAGATAATATTTTATATACAGRGTGTCCCACAGAGATCTGACATTCTGACAAATGAAATAACTTTTGTTCTAATCAATATTTTTAAAAAATTTCTTTTAAATATAATTCATAGACACTTGTGTTATTGCACACAAAAGTTTGTTATTCACATTAAACATTTATAATAATATTCTATAAAAATTTAAAACAACAATATTAATACAGGATATCAGTAAGTTNAGATAAATCTGTGTCCGGCAAGTTCCCCCCTCCGCTGCCTGGTGACAGTTCGTCAGCCGACGGCCAAAGCGCTAGCCAGCTCGGCGTCTGTGTGTCTGTCTTTTCACAACAGTTGACCTGAGAGCAACGTGCTCGTCAACAGTTGGTTTTTTCGCGTGTCGCACCCAACCAACCTTGTGTGATCACAAGGTGTCAGTTTTGCCACTTCGAAGGTTTAGCCGAGTGTGTTTAACGACCTCCAGTGAGCTGTTGTGTCGAACTTGTGAACGGGGAGCTTGTCCGCATCAGCAGTAGTCGTCGTCCGCGTCAATAACGAGCCAGGGTATCCAGTGCTGTCGCCATCAGGTCATCTATATACTATCAGTCACCTCATACTGGTCCACTTGTGCTCAGTGGCCAGTAAAATTATTAATTGTATATTATTATGACCTTAATGCCCACTTATTATTATTCATATTCAATTACCTATTAGTATATTTTTTTTTATACCTGTGGCATTTAGGGTCATTGTACTTAAACGCCTATAATATTTTATTAGCGCACAAATTATTTTATATGTGCAATTATTATTATTAATTAATTATATTATATTATTGTATATTATACGAATGTTCTGGGCGCCCGCATATTAATTGCTTATTATTCATTACAAATATTTTCATATATATAAATTATTTGTAATATATATATATATATATACTGTACGCTAGACGTTGCTGTGATATTTTTATACTTAAAATTGGAGCATTCTGTATATATTTATAAGTTGGTCACCCGGTCCTTTGTCTATCATCTGCGCAAGTTGTGGCAGAAAACTGCATTCTATTGTAAGTTCTGTCGCAGCGAAAACAATTATAATAATTTAAGTATTTGTTTGGTTATAAAATAAGTTTATTTTATTTTGTTATACTTCTTGTAATGTATGTTATATTATTACATTTATTAACAACACTTAAATTACTGATCATTTGTTTTTTAAAACTCATGATTAGGAACAACGTGACTCGCACAACAGGCAACATACGGCTGTTGAGACTAGACTAAACTTAATAATAAGAATCATAATAAYATCAATTACATAATCACCTAATCACATAATCAGTTCCCCTTTCTTATCAACTAATACTAATACAATATAATATAGGACATTTATCAATGTTAACACATTATTAAACTTGATGAACATTACTTTAAATTGATATATTTTTCTTTAATCCTTCATTGATCATTGGTGAAACTAGTGTATGTAGTTTGGGGGTCTATCATCATAGAGTAATTACTTTATGATCTAAATGCACCTTGTGTAAATAATTTTATCATATATGAACATGTGCTAATGTATGATAAGAAATATAAAATATAACAATTTGAATTTTGTTTGTGATATTAGATGATAC